TGTAAAAGAAGTCTGAGCTTTAGGATGGCAACTGCGACGTGAAATTAACCGTATCAACTAAAATCATTGAGGTAATAGTCTGGAATAATAAGTTATTAGATAAATATAATAAAGGTTATTAAATAATTTGAAGCATGGAAGGATATTTGAGCAGTTATAGCCAGTGTTATCCAGTATAATCGTGACATTAAATGTGTACGCGAGTTTAATAACCCTCTCCAGGGGAAACACAGGTATGTATGTATACTAGAGCTGAGTTGCAACAGAATTCGAACAAGACTCGATCACCGCCTACAGTCAACTCTGCAGTACACCAAGGTTAGACAATGACATGCTCTTACCTATATTGCCGTCCAAAATAGGATCTCAATTGATAACGACTTTACGAGATGTAGAACAGTCCACATTATCACCGTGGTGGTAATATACTTGTTTGTGTGTAAGCCAATGGGAATGTGGAACCCAGGGTAATATACTGGCTCGTGTGTAAGCCCATGGGAATGTGGAACCCAGGGTAATATACTGGCTCGTGTGTAAGCCCTTGTGAATGTTGTATCCGGGGTAATACAATGGCTCGTGTGTAAGCCCATGCGGATGTGGTACCCGGGATAATAAACTGGCTCGTGTGTAAGCCCATGTGAATGTTGTACCCGGGGTAATACACTGGCTCGTATGTAAGCCCATGTGAATGTTGTACCAGGGGTAATACAATGGCTCGTCTGTAAGCCCTTGTGAATGTTGTATCCGGGGTAATACACTGGCTCGTGTGTAAGCCCATGTGAGTGAGTAAGTTTTACGCTGCGTTTAGCAATATTCCAGCAATGTCACGGCGGGGGACACCAGAAATGGGCTTCACACGTTGTACCCATGTCGGGAATCGAACCCGTGTCTTCGGCGTGACGAGCGAATGCTTTAACCACTAGGCTACCCGACCGCCCCGTAAGCCCATGTGAATGTTGTACCCGGGGTAATACACTGGCTCCTGTGTAAGCCCTCGTGAATGTAGTACCCGGGGTAATACACTGGCTCCTGTGTAAGCCCTCGTGATAGTAGTACCCGGGGTAATGCAATGGCTCGTGTGTAAGCCCATATGAATGTAGTACCCGGGGTAATACAATGGCTTGTGTGTAAGCCCATGTGAATGTAGTACCCGGGGTAATACACTGGCTCCTGTGTAAGCCCATGTGAATGTAGTACCCGGGGTAATACAATGGCTCGTGTGTAAGCCCATGTGAATGTAGTACCCGGGGTAATACAATGGCTCGTGTGTAAGCCCATGTGAATGATGTACCTGGTGGAATGATCTGGTTCCAGTACAAACCCCATGTTCAGAAGGTACAGGAGAAAAAGCTCTGTTTGATTATAAGCCCATGTTCAGATGGTACAGGAGGGAAAGCTCTGGTTGATTATAAGCCCATGTTCAGATGGTACAGGAGGGAAAGCTCTGGTTGATTAGAAGCCCATGTTCAGATGGTACAGGAGGGAAAGCTCTGGTTGATTATAAGCCCATGTTCAGATGGTACCGGAGGGAAAGCTCTGATTGATTATAAGCCCATGTTCAGATGGTACAGGAGGGAAAGCTCTGATTGATTATAAGCCCATGCTCAGATGGTACAGGAGGGAAAGCTCTGGTTGATTATAAGCCCATGTTCAGATGGTACAGGAGGAAAGCGCTGGTTGATTATAAGCCCATGTTCAGATGACACTGTGGTAATAGCATGGCTTGAGCGGATGACGGAGTGGTACATGGGTTAATATGATTGGAGTATTTGTCCATGTCAGGGTGGTCCCCCCGGGGTAGTACACAGGCAGCTACTAATGGTGTTTTTTTACCCGGCTGTCAGCGACCGCTTACTTCCCTGACGGTGTTGAAGAAGGAAAGGTAAAAACAGACATCCTTGGCGTGATGGACATTCCCTCTGTTGAACCTAACCTCGCTGTACGGCAACAGGCAGAGAGAGATAGAGAGGAGGGGGTGGGGTTGGGGTTGGGGATTCTGCACCTTCCTGGCCGATATCTCGATTAACGTTCATCGTGAATAATAGAAATACATCTCTCCTACTCATTGTGAACGCTTTAGCCCGGATGTGCTGGTATCAATTCATAATGGCAGGGAACTTACAGATAGTGTTTATATGTGTGCTGGAAGGTCGGCGTTCTACGCATATACCTTCTCCAGGTGTACAAATGCGGGACGTTGTTTACAGGTTTCGTTCGAGAGGGTAATTTGGAAGAATTTGTTTGATTTTACTTAGTTTTTTGCAACATTCCAACAATCTACGTACTACATCGCCGGAAATGGGGATCGCACAATTTACGGCCTTGAAATAATCTGTCTTCTACGTGTTTCTCGTCATAAAATTGAATTATTTGCAGTTAAATATACAACTGATGTTAACAGTGATATTAATGTTTTACTTACGTAGAAAATTATATGATACACATATCGGTCACACGATTAATTTATTGAAAAAGGAGTTACTGTGATATGTTTTATGGTTGCGAACAGGGATGCTTGGCAGTTTATTTCTGCTAATGAAGATTTACATTCATGCCAGATCATGGTAGCAGGGGGCATTGTGGGTTTTATGTCCGGTCGTCATGCAAAGAGTCTGCCTCAAAGACTTCTGTATATTTCATCAGTGGCCGGTGTACCCGTTCTCGATTCTACAGAGTTAAACACCTGTGGCATCATAACAAAATTACTGGCAAGTGCATTGGCGCCATTCAATATCTTCCAGCAGTTAACTTCCTGTTAGTGAGTGAGTGCGTTTGGAGTTACGCCGCTTGGAATTATATTCCAGCCATATCACGGCGGGGCACACCAAGAATTGGCTTCACACATTGTGCCCATGTGGGGAATCAAACCTGCGTCGTAGGCCAACGCTTTAACCACGAGTCTACTCGTGGTATGTGGTATTACAGATATTGCAGGAGACGTGTCTGAAAAAGTATTTTGTTCCAGAAAGTACCTGTACTAGAAAATAAAATTTTCCCGATTGGTGCGCTGGATGATCCGATTATTATTGTGTTGTATAACATTATAAATTAGGCCGCGCCTATCTTCAAACCCCTCTCTTCAAAACCCCCAAAATATTAAATGGTCAACATATTAAAAAATATTTTAACGTTTAAAAATTTTGTTTGTGTGTTGCTTTACGCCGCACTCAGCAATATTCAATCTATATGACCGCGGTCTGTAACTAATAGAGTCTGGACCAGACAATCCAGTGATTGACATCATGAGCATCGATCCACGCATTTGGGATACCATGACATGGACCAACCAAGTCAACGAGCCTGACCACCCGATCCCGTTAGTCGCCTCCTACGACAAGCATAATCGCATTTTATGACAAGCATGGGTTGCTGAAGACCTTTTCTAACCCGGATCTTTTTAATGCGTCTAATGTTAAAAAACAATGCATGTCACGTTTGTGATATGAGGTAGGGCTGAATGAATGGCAGGCTGACCCGCCATGTCTATACATGTGCCTAGCGTCTCCCTGGTGTGGCGATGTGTGCCGTGCACGTGTATGTGCTGAGTCAGTGAGTCTAACCTATAGCACACGTGTATATATCGGGAACAACCTGGCTGTCAATATGGTTTGTGTTAAATACACAAGCGCCTTGCATCCCCTGGAACGTACAGAATATATCGGCCTCCCTTCCACGCACTGGAACTGGAAGCTGGGTGGGCAGAGACATAGGGGAGAGACATAGAGAGACATAGGGGAGAGACATAGGAGAGAGACATAGGGTGCGGTGAAATGGGGTTTAACGTCGCGTCCAAGATTATTGCACTTATATAGCGACGTGCATGCACGTGTGTGTGCGTTAGTGCGTGCCTGCTTGTACTAGTCCGGACTGATGCCGATATATAGTACTAGCCCACTGAGATACAATGCCGCAGTTTTAAATGAATATCCCACTCAGGCAATGTATACTCCGAGCCGACCATGTGGTCCTTGTTTTAGGCCCTTAATGACGAGCGCCAGGCAGGGTAACAACAAGTAGAGACGTAGGTGAGAGATGGTTATAGATGGCCGATAATAGACTAACTACATCACGTTGGAGAGTACCGGTCAGTATAGTGCGTTGTCGATATAACTGTAGGACTAACACCATCTTGTGTTTGGGGTTAGAGAGAAGTGAAGGGTTCCCGATTCACAAGTTCCAACAAGAATGTATATGCCCGTATTTCTATTTTGTCTCACAAGTCAACATTTTACGTAATAAAAAACGAAGACGGCTATTCATATCAAGGAGTGCGGTAACTCCGGTATACTCTCCGACACGGGGCATGGAATAACGTTGTTTAAAGCCAGCTGGCCGGTCACCGTTATAACATGTACATTAAACCAGTCCACTACACACGCCAGCTAGAATTCGTGTGATATATTGTGTTCTCCACGGGGGACATGTGTTTCCAATAGTCACTACCTCTACCCCTGACATACTTCTCCTGCAACTCGCCGCCCCGACACACGACATGTAGCCGAGGAGGAAAACACCACGACTCGGGGAATGAAATATATAAAAATGACATTTGTAAAACCCCATACAAATAGGGAATTCTCTAATAGAAATGCACAAAATGCTATCGTGTAGTTAATACGATTAACGGCATATTGTACTATTACTTAAGTTCATTACGATGTATATTATACACGAATAAATAATACTAATAATAGTACAATGAAACAGAATATATAGAAAACAAATATCAAGAGATATGGGGCAATGAGTGAACCCTGGCGAAACCCGATATGCACTCTTAACTACTAGCAGTTGTGAGGATATAAACCACGCTTTTGTCCCCTGAAGAGAGAACTAAACTTGACTTACAGTAAGCACGTCGTTCTTTTGACAGTGACAGCTTCCAAAATACCGTTAGTCTCCCCTACCCCCCGGCTATCACATGCGACGGCCCTGGCGTACTCCTTACGACAGCCTCCAACAGACACGTTAATCTCCCCTACCCCCATCGACGTACTCACCGCTCTTCCCGACCCCCTCCATGCCCAGGACTGCCACCTTGGTCTCCCCCAGGGATGACTTCTTCCTCCTCAGGTAGGGCCTGAGGGTGGGGCCGGTGCTCACCGTGGTCGGCTCGGACATCCCGCTGGACGCACTCATCCTGTGGTCAGACAGTCTTGTATATGTAGCTCGCTGTACTCACGGCCCGCGTCACATGGAGAGTCTTGACATAAGTTGTGGGGTTGCCTTCACACTGGTCACACAGGTGACACCGTTAATCGCTGTGGATTAAACTCATCACAACTATTGATGATGTTAATAAAACAAAACTGTTATGATCTGAATATAATACTTAGAATACAATCTCCCAACATTACATTTACATATAATCCAATCGTGGACTAAACCAGGTAAATCTGTCTCCCGTATATCCAGGTAAGTCTGTCTACAGGTGCACACAGGTGTAGGTTATTCCAATTCTGACATTCATCATATCACAGGTGGAGCCAGTGAGTTCTATCACACTGAGGAAATGTTCATCTCTCAGTCAGAGGTAGCGTAGTGATACACGCAGATGGGAGCACTTCGTTGTCGTGCAACAGACCTCCTCTCCAGACTCACATCTTCTTGCTCCGGCTATTTATGAAGCTGCGCGTGGTCGAGTAAATAGGTGATACCTCTCATCCAGCCAACCTCTGCTCTTGTCTACTGCCTCACGTGAACGCACGAGCGAAGACCTCGTGTTACGTCTGCACGTTCAAAACGCGCGAAATCCTGTCTGCAGCAAACGATGCGTCCGGGCTCACAGTAGACCTGAGAGGCTTACGGAATGAAAACACGCTTTAAAATAATTAGGTTGAAGACAGTAAGCAACATTACTTCTTGTGATTATTTCCTGACTTCATAAACCCGTGTAATTCAAGTTAGCTACCCTTATTACACACTGACTGTACTGTTCAGAAAATTAAAAGAAATGTCGATTAAAAAAGAGATAAAAAACAAAGCTGCCTGATAGCCGGTTGAAGATTTAATAAAAATGTTTATCTTGAAATCAGGATATCTAATTAAATTCTTTTCATGAAGAAAAAGATCTCTGTCATGGTCGTAACGCATCTCCCATCACGTGTGTACTCAATCGGATTTCGCTGCACAGATGTAATTTGTATGATGTAAATATTGATGAATTGAACTTATTAACTTCATACCGTGAAACCCTCCGACGCACCTCAAGGGGGTTGGTGCTTGAACGCACGTGTTTTAGATAGCTGTAGATGTTTTGGAAACGTCCATAATTATAATTGAAGTATATTTACCTAATTTGCAAAGGTTCCACATCATTACTGACACTTGTTTCCTGGCGATGGTGTTAAGCAATTAAAGTTCACATGACGAAAAATCTGAAAATATCAATATCTGGGAGTGAGTGAGTTTGATTTTACGCCGCTTTTAGCAATATTCAAGCATTATCACGGCGGGGGACACCAGAAATGGGCTTCCGACATTGTGCCTATGTCGGAAATCGAACCCAGGTCTTCGGCGTAACGAGCGAACGCTTTAACCACTAGGCTACCCGATCGCCCCAATATTTGGGAAATGTAGGCGATACCATGCTTAATGGCGCCCCTTCCTTCACCATCTCCCCCTCACACACACTCTTCTGTATGATTATGATGATAAATGATTGTATGAGTGAGTGACAAGTATGTTTTTTATGCCGCTTTTAGCAATAGTCCTTCACACAATACACCCATGAGGGGAGTCGACCTAGGGCGTTTGGCTTGACGAGCGAACGCTTTTATTGAGGGTTTGGTAGCTGGGCACAGTTGTTGAAGGGACGCCCCAGCTCTTTGTGGGTTCATCACGTAATCGCCTTTAAGGTTCACTGTGCAGTGTTTCGTTCTTTAGGCGTCCCAGAAACCTGAGATCGCGGGTTCGAATCCCAGGTTGCCCTGATTAGTCTTGTAGGTTTGTCAGCTCCATATCAGTGTAAGACCCGGGTCACTTCAGACTCTGCCGTGATATATAAGTTGGGTAAGACACTCCCTCTCTCTCTCTCTCTCTCTCTCTCTCTCTCTCTCTCTCTCTCTCTCCAGAATTAGGTTAAATCGAACTGATATTGGCGCCTCAGACACTGGCGCCACTGTCATCTTTGCATGCTGGTATTAAGGACATTTGGAAATACCGCTCAATTGTCCCGTCTCGTGAGAGTAGACACAAGAATGTGGCACCCCGGTGAGGTAAGGGATGCAGGTATTAGAAGTATACAACCTTTAAATGAGTTTGTTTTGAAAAAAAAAAAAATACTAGGGGCCCGGCAATTTGTTTATTGGATTACTCAGGTGGATAGTGTCTGCGAGGGGGCCTACACCGCTAGGGATCAGCTGGTGAAGTAATTTCCTACACGTAACACGAAAGATGATCCCCTCGCAGCCGGCGGTCCTGGAATCTCTGCCATTCCATCAGTCAGTACCATCTAATCGAACACGCCCCGAATGTACACCGTCAGTCAGTACCTCCCCATCACAAGAACCATTGTAAGTATGTGTAGCCAACACGGACAGGCTTAAGGGCGAACAGCGTTTCAGGGCGTACAACAGAACAGTCGCCATGCGTGTTGCAGGGCGTAGAAAAGAGTTATACAGTGCCGTAGAACGTTATATAGTACATTAGAGTGTTATACAGTGATGTAGAACGTTATATAGCACAGTAGAGTGTTATACATATAGAATACTAAACGAGCTCCCGTGTAATACCAATTTTATGAAACGAGTGAATAGTTTTGGTATCTGACGAGCGAAAGCGAGTCAGATACCACAACTATTCACGAGTTTCATAAAATTGGTTTTACACGAGAGCGAGTTTAGTATTTTATTTATTACTTGTCATTTATAATGTTTTTAGAATTATACTGTTGAGTGTAAATAGGCTGACACCTACACGATCCATGGCATAATCCAATTGAGTTTAAAAGGAATAATACTTCAAACACGTCAAAAGTTGAAACGTATGAATTTAATATCATACAATGGTCCACCTTTAGAATTCAGGCGTTCGTCCAACAAAATTATCGTAGTGCTAAGGCTATCACTAAACTCACATAATTTAACTTAGACTAACGACTGTCGTTGCGCTACAGTACGATCGCCTTGTGGGACGGGGCCGTGCACCTCAAAGTTTACAATGACGTCACAATACCCGATGACGTAATTTGTTGAATTTTGTTGCAAGATCCATCGGCGAAACAATGCCATGTGACGTCAGCCTAGCAACAAGGTTGCTGGGGTCATCGAGTGTGCATAAGCTCCTCCCAGTGATCTATCATCTCCACACACAATGTCGTTGAATACGCCAAGGGATGTTGAGAGCTTTCAATATTTGTTCGTGAAACGTGTTCCGAGAGTACATAAGCACGCGTTTTGGTATTACACAATAAAGCTGTATGTTTATTAAACGGGTGATCTCTTCACGGGCAAGTAATAAAGTGATGTAGAACGTTATATAGCATAGTAGAGTGTTATACAGTGATGTAGAACGTTATATAGCACAGTAGAGTGTTATACAGTGATGTAGAACGTTATATAGCACAGTAGAGTGTTATACAGTGATGTAGAACGTTATATAGTACAGTAGAGTGTTATACAGTGATGTAGAACGTTATTCTTCCCCGCCCTTAAGGCGGGGAAGTATACGGGAAACGTTAAATTTGTAGCATGGATGTCGACATGTTGGTTTATTTGAAATTTCAAGCCACGCATTTACGGAAACAAAACATACAAATCATGGGCGTGGAATGTTGATGCTGTTCTTTTCCAGCAATAAGAGATGCTTCAAAATCGTCTTAATGTAGTTGATTGATGCATCTGACCGTTTCTGGTCATTAGCTGACATTATTTAACCATTCATGTGTAATCCGATGTCCTTTTTTCCTCAAGGACTAATTTTCTGATTTTCACGGTGTATACAAAAGAAGAACTGTGCTCCGGAGATCGTAAATAACAGCATTATAAAAATTATGTTCTGAATATGCTTATTCATGAACAACGACGACATCTCAATTTAAATGTAATATGGCTGAATTCAACATTCTACATACCACACTTTTGATTGTTTGGATGCCCATGTTCACTGGAAATATTTGGAATAGTTATATTCCGTATTTTGAATTAAACCAGTCCCCCGGTTTTTTTTAATCAGTGCACCGCACATAGCCACATGTGAAACGTTTGGTAGCGAAGTCAAAGCAAAATCGGAGTAGTGTGTCGGCGAATTTGCATCAAGGCTGTAATATTTTTCAAACGTTTAATGGAATTCAATTTACAGCCGTAGCTCTGGTCACTCATATATTTTGTGTCCCATGGCTCAAATCTATTTGCGTCTGTACCGTGTTCCACTGACCTCGATAATCTGTTGGATGAAGGCACAGCTCTCTACAGTCACATAGTTAACACCAAAGGCTATGAGGGGTATTTAGGTCACAATCAATTTTATGGCTCCGTCACGGGTGCCACAAATATTGAAGCAGGGAAAACAAATATCATAGAATCATTTCAAAAAGCAATATTGATATCCCCGTCACTTTTGGTGACTTTTAATGATGTCTCCATTGCAATTTTTACGGATTTTGATTCGTATGCATTTTTTTATTCTCATCAGCGGAATGGTTTGGGTCAGGAATGCTTCTCGTAAGAGGCGACAAACGGGATCGGATGGCCAGGCTTTGGTTGATGCATGGAATCGATACCAATTGCGTGGATCGATGCTCATGATATTAGGCACTGGATTGTCTGGTCCAGACTCGATTATTTACAGAACGCCGTCATATAGCTGGAATATTGCTGAGTGCGGCGTTAAACGACAAACCAATCAATCACCATCATATGAACTCAAACCAGTCATTGTTACAGGTAAACCACATTCCACAACAGTTACTGGCACTGGATAAAAAACAATACATAGAAAAAAACCAAGTAACTCAACTCATCATGATCACAATTACTATTCTTTGAAAGAAAGAAATACAAAAAGGAAACTGACCAAAAAACGTAAAACAAGAGACGAGGAATCTCCATTATTGATTAGTCCCTGAATTGAAATGTTCTCCAACTACGTGATAATATTTTGAGTTGTGACCAATACACCTTATCTAGTATGACTTTTTTGCAATATGGAGACCTTAGTATTTTCATTTACATTATTATAACCAAATGCCAAGTGTAAAAGGAATGTGATCTATTATTTGAGTATGTGCATCTGCCAATGTTGTTGGCAGTTTTGATACTATTTCCACGTGTTTACATTTGTGCCAGAAATTGCTTCCATTTCCTTCGATCTACTTTTTAAATAAAGAGCGAGCTTAGAATAGGTCTTTAGCAACCTATGCTTGCCGTAAGAGGCGACGCACAGGATTGGGTAGTCAGGCTTGCCGATTTGGTCGATGCATAACATCATATTGCAATTGCGTAGTTCGATGCTCTTGGTGTCAATCACTGGATGATCTGGTCCAGACTTGATTATTTACAGACCGCCTTCATATGGCTGGAATACTGCTTAGTGCGGCGTTAAACAAGAAACTATTTTTAAATAGACCTACCCTATGCAAATGTATCAACTGTATTGCCCAATACTCACAACAGCGTTGTGTTATTTGTGGTTAATATAATTATGCTCCTTCATGCCTTTCAGTAACATCATAATTATGCGTTTGTGAGGCATCACAGATGGCGGGGA